CGGCTAAGGCACCAGCCACATACACCTAAGCTGGCCAGTTCGAATCCAGCCCAGGCCCGCCAAACAACAATGATGGCTGCAACCAAAAATTAGCTGGGCGTTGTGGCGGGTGCCTATAGTCCCAGCTACTTGGGAGGCAGAGCCAGAAGACTCGCTTGAGCCCAGGAGTTGTAGGTTGCTGTGCGCTGTGATGCCGTAGCATTCTACCCAGGGGAACAGCTTGAGGTTCTGTCTCAAAAATAAATAAATAAATAAATAAATAAAGCATTTTGCTCCCAGAGCTGGTCACACCTTGGCCAGTGAGGGCAGGGTCAGTACAGATCCTGCGTGCTGTGTTGAAGGGGTTCATAACCATCCCATTGATGGCTTGTGATACCCATGTCCCTGGCAGCTCCTGACACGCTCCAGCGTCCCTGGCCCGGTGAGCCTATGTGCCTGAAATTTCTTGTATCATTGTGTGTGGTAGGTTTGCAGTAGCCTGTGGGTCCTAGGGGCTTTGTCTCACGCTTGCGCACCCACAGGGTGGACGTGAACACTGACCGAAAGATCAGTGCCAAGGAGATGCAGCGCTGGATCATGGAGAAGACAGCAGAGCACTTCCAGGAGGCCATAAAGGAGAACAGGGTGCACTTCCGCGCTGTGGATCCTGATGGTGACGGTATAGTGGCCTGAGGGCCAAGCCTGGGCCGGGATGTGTTGGGGAGGGGCAGGTGTGGGGAGCCGATCTAAGGGCCCTGAGTGGGGCTCTGGCCACCCCATCCCCTGGCTGCAGAGCAGCAGGCTGGCTCGGCCAAAGTCGATTTCTTATACTGACCAATGTTTACTAGTGACATAGGCTCTTCACAGGAATGAGAGCCAGTGTTCTAGCTGAGAAGGGAAATGCAGAAGGTGTTGGGGCCACGCCTGGGCTGCACTAAGTACCCCCGTCCTCTGTGCCTCCTGATGGTCCCAAGGGACAGCTTCTTGAGTGAGGTAGTAGATGCAGAACACTGGACCCACTGCTTTTGGCCACTGCTCTGGCTGGACATTCAGAGCTGGTGGCCACATCCTTCTGCTCTGTCTGCTCCTGCAAATAGTGTAAGGAATTTTAGCCACTGTCCTGTACTACCCACCCTTTCCTCAGAGATGTCCTAAGGGTGCAATCTGTTTTTTCAGGCCGTGTGTCTTGGGATGAGTATAAAGTGAAGTTTTTGGCGAGCAAAGGCCATAGCGAGAGGGAGGTTGCTGATGCCATCAGAAATAATGCAGAACTCAAGGTCGACGAGGAAAGTGAGTGCTCAGATCCTGGCCAGCTATGTGGTCAGTATTGGGGGCCTTAGATCCCAGCCAGCTATGTGGTCAGTATTGGGGGCCTTAGGCCCTGGCAGTATCCAAGCTGGGGCATCTGTGTGGAGCTGGGTCTTAACCTTTCTTGAACAATTTGAATACTCTTTAAAATGTTTGACCCTATGGCCAAGTGTAGTGACTCACGCCTATAATCCCAGTACTCTGGGAGGCCGAGACGGGTGGACTGCCTGAGCTCACAGGTTGGAGACCAGCCTGAGCCACAGTGAGACCCCACCTCTAAAAATAGCTGGGCGTTTTGGCGGGTGCCTGCAGTCCCAGCTACTTGGGAGGCTGAGGCAAGAGAATTGCTTAAGCCCAAAAGTTTGAGGTTGCTATGAGCTGTGATGCCACATCACTCTACCGAGGCTGACAGTGAGATTCTGTCTCATAAAAAATAAAAAATAAAAAATAAATAAAACCTTTGACCCTCACCCTGCTCCCAGTTTGCATGAGGTCACTAGGATTTTGTTTTTGTCCTTTCTAAACCCTACAAATTGGATGTTGTCTTTCCTTCCCAAAGTGGTTGTTGCATTTTCCTTGCTTGTTTCTGCTCTACTTCCCCCATTGGGTTCTGCATTTCACGCTGTCCCCGAAAGTGCCCTGTACTGTGGAGGGTCTAGGGCCTTTGTCCTGCCAGCGAGAGTCCACTTATGGTGAGTTGGTCCAGCCTTAGTGGCTGCTGACAGGTGGGGCTGGCCACCTGGCCTCATACCCTAATGGTGTTGTCTCACTTGAGCATGTCTGTTCTGTCTGGGATGTGTCATCCTTGCTGGACTGTGTCATCTCTGGTGACTGATGTGCCATCTGCCTCTGATCCCTTGACCTCTGCATGGCTGGTCTTTTGTTCTGGGGGCTCAGGGAGAGCAGCTGAGGTTGGGGAACCTCACAGGTAGCCCCCCTGACCCTATCCCTCCCCTGTGAGGCTCCTGAGAGTCTCACAGCTGCTGTCCACACCTCACATGGTTTGGGGGCTGAGGTGGAGGTGTGGGGACTCCTGCTGGTCTCATGGGAAGAGATACCATCCTGGCCTCTCCAATCTCTGCTTCGGTCACCACATGGCCATCTTCCTCTGCCCTGTAGACCTCTGCTGTCCTCTTCTTACTGGGATGCCAGCTATGTACTTAGGGCCCAACCTGACCCAGAACAACCTCTTATTGAGACCTATCACCAATGATAGCAACAGAGGCACTCTTCCGAAATAGGGCCCCTCGGTGCCAAGTAGACACAGGGCTTGTCACCAGGTGGCTGCAGGGCATGGGGTAAACGCCGGGCACAGGACTTTTCACCAGGTAGATGTGGGGCATCTCACCAGGTGGATATGGGGCTTTTCACCAGGTGGGCATCAGGCTTCTCACTAGGTGGGCATGGGGCTTCTCAGGTCAGCCTGTGGCAATTTCCAGGCAGCACTCTGTGCTGCTATCCAGAATTGTTCTGACTAGAAACACCTCGGGGTCAGCCCTTCCCAGGAGTCCATACCTGTCCTGGTCAGGTCTCAGGTCACCCCATCTGTCCATCCTGGGACCTTGAATGGGGAGGGGGCAGCCCATGGGCCCCCATTTGCCTCCGGGGAGTTGGTTACAGTCAAGGTGGTGGCTACAGGTGGTCCGTGGTGACTAGAATGTTGAGAGTTTGGTGGCTACAGGTGGTCCGTGGTGACTAGAATGTTGAGGGTTTGAGAAAGGGCTGCTGCCAGACGCTGGGTAGTGGCATAGTCAGGACCTGGGGAGGCCACAGCAGAGTGCTCAGGGGATATGGTCTGTGGCCTTGGTAAGTCCCAGGCTGGTCAGGACCTTCCATTTCTGCTCTGGAGGCTGAGGCAGGCCTGGCCTTCTCTCAGGGTCACTCAGTGGTCTCAGGACAAGTGGGCAGCCACTGCCCCAGGCGTCCCGTGGTAGGAGTACATGGGGCCACATGCCCAAACACTTTCCTGGGTCCCACTAAGAGTTCATGGGAAGATCTGAGTAGCCACAACCTCAGTCATTTCTAGAAATGGGGTTTTTCTCTAGCACCATGTCCTCTGCAATGTCGCACGTGAAAGAATGGGAAGGAGCAGAGTGACGCTGTCCCTGTGACGCGTCATAGGTGAGTCAGCCTCACCATGTGTTTTCCACTTTTGCCCAGGAGTGAACAGCCATGAATGGGGGTCTGGGCCACATCTGGATATGATTTGGAGGATCTTGCTGTGTTTTGGGGGGTCTGGGCCATGTCTGGGAGGTCTTGGCCGTATCTGGGCGGGCACTGGGCCATGTCTGAAGGGTCTGGGGGGGTGGTCTGGTTCCTGTCATGTGGGTCTAGGTCATTTGTAGGAGATCTGGGTCATGTCTGGGGTCTGTGCGTTGTCTTCCCCAGGCCACACTGTCCTTCAGAGAGTAGAGTCCTTGGTCCTGTGTGTAGTTACATCCCATGCACCAAGCCTCTGAGCTGAGAAAACAGCTCTTAGAACTTTCAGCTTTGCACACAGGTGCTCTGTCGGACAGGTGCTCACATGCTGTGCCCTTCTCAGCACAGGAAGTCCTGGAGAACCTTAAAGACCGCTGGTATCAAGCTGACAACCCGCCTGCGGACTTGCTGTTGACTGAGGACGAGTTCTTATCCTTCTTGCACCCTGAGCACAGCCGGGGCATGCTCAAGTTTATGGTCAAGGAGATCATCCGGGACCTGGGTGAGGCCTAGGGCAGCACTGGGTGCCGAGCAGGTGGGTTGACCCTGGGAGGTGCCTGCCAGCTGTGGGCTGACTGTCCTGCGGGCAGCTGGCAGCTCAGCACCTTCAGGCATCTTGCTTGAGGTCCCACACGATTGTCCCACCCCTGTCCTGCAGACCAGGATGGCAACAAGCAGCTCTCTCTGCCTGAGTTCATCTCCCTGCCTGTGGGCACTGTTGAGAACCAGCAGGGCCAGGACATTGACGACAGCTGGGTGAGAGACAGAAAGAAGGAGTTTGAAGAGCTCATTGATTCCAACCACGATGGGATTGTGACCCCCGAGGAACTGGAGGTGGGCCTGCGGGTAGCAGGGGTGTCCCTGAGCTTGGGCCTGGGGGTAACAAGGGTGTCTTTGAGGTTGGGCCTGGGGTGTTGAGGGTCCCCAGGGAAGACCCTGAGACCTCTGGCTGAGGCTGGTCTGCCATTTAAGGGAGCTGCCTAGAGGAAGCCACCTTAGGGCTATCCTCTGCAGCTGCGCTGGGGGGTCTGGCTGGGGCTGGTCACTTGGTCATTTACCAGCAGCATCTGACCATGGGCTCCTACATAAGGCACTGTTGGTGTCTGTGCTCAGGTGGGTGGCCCAGCATGGTGTCTATCTTGGCACTGTCTGTAGTAGAGGATTCTTTTGGTCTCATTTGGGGCCTTTGTGCAGGTGTGGGGCTGCCTTCTGTCACATGGCCTGAAGGGCGGGTTGGAATCCATAGCCTTTCTCTGAAGTGTTTTCAGTGGTATCAGTTTGGGGCTTGTTTTTCTCCTGTTGCTGAATGAGTCATTTTGTTTTATGACAGAATTTTCTGAACTCTACTGATGGCTAGGTGGGGCACAGCCAGGGTTTTGGGATCTTGTCAGAACTGGGTCTTGGTGCCAGCCCAGGTATCTGTGTTCAATGGCCAATTCAGTTCATGTCACCTCCCACTGGCCCCAGGCAAGCTGTGTGGGGACCCAGTTTCTCCCCTGTGTGTTTCCTATCTATGGTATCTCTCTTCTGGAACATTCTAGAATGTGCCCACATCCCTATCCTATAGCCAGTGAGGTATTTTCTATAGGGAATTGCTGTAGGTGGGTGTAGCATTAGAGCCACTGCTTACATAGACTGAGTTCCCTGTTGGGACATTCATGTTCATGGGGCACAGGTCAGGTGCCTGGTGAAGAATGGGGAGGGAATGTCCCTGGGACATGACAGCTGGCGGGCCCTGGCAGCCAGAAGGGCCAGGAGGAGGCCACTGACCTGCACCTGGGCACCTGCTGCAGAAATATATGGACCCCATGAATGAGTACAACGCCCTCAACGAGGCCAAGCAGATGATTGCCATCGCAGATGAGAATCAGAACCACCACCTGGAGCCAGAGGAGGTCCTCAAGTACAGCGAGTTCTTCACGGGCAGCAAGCTGATGGACTATGCTCGCAACGTTCATGAGGAGTTCTGAGCCGCCATCCCTCCCACCCCTTGCAAAGCCACTGTTTCCCTCACTCCTCTCTGACCCTCCATACCTGTGAGGGAGGTGCTGGGTTGGTCACGCCTGGGCAGGTGACTCTGGGCTCCACCACTGCCCTGAGCCCTCCCTCCCTCCTGCTGCTGCAGAATGGCAGGGTGGGTTCATTAAAGATGTGCTGTGACAGGCCACATGCTCCTCTGTGTCCCAGCCCCTGGCAATGTCACCAGGCCTACTCCAGTCACAGCTGCAGCAGAGTGCTCAGCGGTCCCTCCAAGTTGCTGCATCTTGCTTCAGAGAACTGCTCAGTGTCATTCTGCTGAAGCACTGACAGGGCTTACCAAGCTGTGGGAAACAGGGAAATAATGTAACACCTGCCATGTCCTTGAAAACTGAAAGATTGAGACACTGTTATGTTGTGCTTAGCTGGAAATGAGTAGCCAAGAAGGAAGTTAAGGGGAGGACACCTTCTTCTTGGGAGGCCAGGTATGTCCTGGGTGGGGGGGCCTCCCTGGGCCTGTCAGCACCAGCCAGGTCAGGAGCTGCACCCTCTGAGAATATGCAAATATTTGTTGTGGCAGGAGTCACATTACTTTACTTTAAATATATACTTGCCTTTTTTCTCTCAGCTTCATTCTTTGGGTGGAAATAAAACACAATTTGGAACATTTGTGGCCCAATGGCTTCCCCTTTCAGCATTTGAGGTGGGCAGTTGGATTAATAAAGGGGGCTTGCAGCTTTTATTGAACAGCCTTTGAGTTGATTCTCCCTCCTGGAACCCTGGGGGTGGTGGGGACTGCAGCACAGGCTGGTGGGATGTGTTTGTGGGAAAGGGACTGAGGGCAATGGGCAGGCCAGTTACTGCACTTGGGTCTAGCTGGACTGGATGTGTGAAGTTAGGAGCGAGAGCCTGGTGGATAGAGAAGAGGTGGCCTCAGGACAGGGCAGTGCCCTTGACCTGTGACCTTCAAGAGGGGGGGCAAGCCCAGCCTTGGGGCAGCATAGTGGGTATGTCAGGTCCCCCCTATGGCCTATGAGGAGCATCTCCTCTGCCAGCCTCTGGTGCCAACTGGCAAGCAGGGTGGACACTGTGAGGCAGATGCGAGACGTTTCTCAGGGCTGAGGCCTTGTATCCCCTCACAGCTCTTGTCACCATGGGCTGAGCTCTGTCCCCATCTGTGGCTTCAGCATTCAGTGTCCTGCCCTGGGGAGATAACACTCACAAAGGTGGGCAGTGTGAGCTGGAGCTAAACCAGGCTGGGCATACGAGAACAGCTGGGAGTGTGGTAGCATCTGGCTCTTCAGAGGCCCTGGCAAGTCTGATACCCAAAGAATAGAAGCCATCTTGTGCTGTCACTGTGCTGAGGGGACCTTGAACCCTGGGTGAATGTCTAACTTGGTTGTGGCCAGCCCCTCAGCTCAGTGGACACAGTCAGCCTTCCTCCTGCTGATACCTCTGTGACCTCCTACCCAGGATAACTAGAGCTGCAACCCTCAGGCAGCTTCCAGTAGGAGAGAACACAGCTGACTGGGGGACTCAGGGCGGAGTAGCCTGGGGGTGCAGTGAGGCTCAAGCTATGTGCCCCTCTGGTCACCTGTAGGCAGACAGCCACACTTGTATGCAGACATCAGAGAGTCTCCCACATGTACTCCCAGGAAGGGAGGGGTTGGTCGCTGAGACCCCACATGGACCTGAACCACTTGTAATGTGAGATTTATCTCACTGTCAGTGGGAGACAGGCCTGGGAACTGGATTGAAACTTTTAGAAAATGTCAGAAGTTTCACCATTTGCCCACCTAGGTTGGGTGTGAGCACTTATGCACAGGCTCTGCCTGCGCTCCCAGACTCTTTGCACTTTGGGGGCCTGGGGAGGGTGACTATGGGCCTGCTCCCTTCCCCCTTGCCTCCCACCCCCTGCAGGGCCCAGGGCAGCCTCCATGGGGATTTCCCCGCAGGTGGGCTGAGGGAACATCTCTTACCTGTGCTCCTGGGCTGGAGGGGATTTCCAGCAGCCGTCCTGCCTGGGAGGCCCCTCTCCACTTAGAACTTTTAAAGTTAACTTTTGAATAACCATGTCATGGCTACAATTTGGAAAATGTACAAAAGGACTCAGTGAGGCCCCAGCCCTGTGTCCAGGTCCAGGCCCTGCCTCAGGAAGGCCATGGGATCAGGAGACATTAAATGGAAGGAAAGACAGTTGCCCGTGTGGCCATGTGTGCATAGGCGTGTGCCTGCGTGCACTCAGCTCACATCAGCCTACCTCCCTCACTGCTGCACAGGCCCTCTCTCCAAATACAGCCACACCAGGGGTCAGGGTTCCACATGGACTTGGGGGGACACAGGTCAGCTTGTGAACACCTGCCCTGCTTCAGCACACTCAGCTGCTTGAGGTGCATACGTGCACGTACACGGATGTGCGCATGCTTAGTGTGGGCCTGGTCACCAGGCATCTGGTGGCGACTATCGGTCTGAGCTAGTCTTAAGACACCTAGGGGAGAGCCGAAGGTCCAGACTGAGGGGCCTCTCTGACTCTGACACTTTGGTTTATCCACATGTTCTATGCACCTTCATGATGATGGGTGAGTGGTGGTGGGAGTGGCCCCAGCCTTCCCAGACCACCCTGGCCAGATGGGGCAGGAGGGTCTTTAGTGTGGGCTGGGCATGGGGCAGAAGAGGAGCCTACACCTGTGGGGTAGGGGTCCAGAAAAGCCTCCTTTCTGCCACCAACTGGGCTTGGGGACACCAGCCCTGCTTGGGGCCCTTTCCTCCTCCCCCATCTCCCCCCCTCCCCGCACAGCCCTTATAGCCACATCCTGGCAGGAAAAACCCAGACTCAGAGAAGAGGTAAGGATGTGTGTGGGGGTTCAGCTGCTGCGGTCCCAGGTGCCCTGCTCAGCCCTGCTGCTGCTGGGACTTGTGCTGGGGGCTGCTGCTGAACTCCGCTGTGCTGAGGACACCTACCCTAGTGGCAGCCGATGCTGCCACGAGTGCCAACCAGGTGAGGCCAGCAGTGTGGGACCAGGCCTGAGGTGGTGGTCAGATGCCAGGCCTGACACTGCTGGCCTCCATTGCAGGCCATAGGATGGTGAGCCGCTGTGACCACTACCGGGACACCGTGTGCCTTCCGTGCCCACCTGGCTTCTACAATGAGGCTGTCAACTACGAGATCTGCAAGCCCTGCACGCAGTGCAACCAGCGTGAGCCTGCCCGCCTCCCACCCTTTGCCCCCTGGGGCCCTGCAGGTCCCCCACAGCCACAGGACCAACCCCAAACCACAGTGGGACTCCCTCCTCCCTCCCCCTGGGGCACCTCAGCTCAGAGGAGGCCACGTGGAGTTGCATGGAGGGCGTTATTCACGTGGTCTCACTGTGCTGCTGGGTGGTAGGGCCCAGCTGGGGTCCAAGGAGGATCTTGCCCTGTGTGCAGCTGTGCCGGAAGCAGGTGCAGGACTGGGGTGCAGGACTGGGGACACCAGCTCTGTCCTTGAGCTGCCCACCCTTCCTGGGGGCTATGCCTCCTTGGCAGCCCCCACCTGATGCCACTGCTACTACTGGTCCCCTGCCCAGGAAGTGGGAGTGAACCCAGGCAGAAGTGCACAGCCACACAGGACACTGTCTGCCGCTGCCGGCCAGGCACCCAGCCCCAGGAAGGCTATAAGCATGGAGTTGGTGAGCCTCGGGCAGCCTGGCTGGCAGGGTAGGGGTTGCACAGCCAGTGCGTGAAGAGGTTGGGATCTTGGTGCCCTCCTCCTGGGGGGAGGGTGGGAGCCTCGTACTGGTACAGAGACCATGGTCCCCACCACGTTGTGCTGGCACCTCTCTTGTGCCCCCTGGTTCAAATCCCTGCAGGGCCAGCAGGCCGAACATGACAGGGAGGCCTCAGAAGCCAAGCTCAGCTGAGCCTGGCCTGCTCTTGGTTGCAGACTGTGTCCCGTGTCCCCCTGGCCACTTCTCCCTAGGTGACAACCAGGCTTGTAAGCCCTGGACCAAGTGAGTGCACAGCCCAGGGTGGGGCGGGGGATGGGGCAGAAGATGAGCCTGTAGCTGGTGTCCCCAGAAAAGCTGCCTTTCTGCCACCAACTGGCTCCTGGGCCAGGCCCCACCCTTTCTTGCTGAGGTGCCAGCTCTCCCTGTAGGTAGATAGGGGCGTGCGAGGCCCTGGCCCTCACTTGTCCTCCCAGGGCTCCCATCCCAGGGTTTGGGAGTTGTGGGGCCTGGCAAGGGGGTGGGGAGTCAGGCAGGGCACTGGGGCCCTGAGGGCATTAGGAGTAAAGGTTTGTAGTCTTGAAGGGTGGTGAGGACCTGTGGGCTTATGCAGGGGTCCTCAGGTGTCTTTGGTCTAGAGTTCTGAGATGGTGATACCTTTGACTGGTCAGTGTCCCTGGGGTCTCTAGCCTGATCAACCCCTCTGCCCTCCCAAAGCTGCTCCGCTGCTGGGAAGCACACACTGTATCCAGCCAGCAACAGCTCAGATGCCATCTGTGAGGACAAGAGCCCCTTGACCATACCATCCAGGGAGACCCAGGGCCCCCCAGCCAGGCCCAGCAGTGCCCAGCCCACAGCAGCCAGGCCTTGGCCATCACAGGGCCCCTCCATACCCTCCTTGGAGGCCCCCCAGGGTAAGAGGGCCTGGCCTCACCTCAGCAGAGCCACAACTCAAACAGGGGAGTGGGGATAAGAGAAGATGGGGCTTCCCTCTGCCACTTTGGCCCCTCCTGTGCATCTCACCAGTAGGCCCCCTCCCCTCAGGCTCTGCACTTGCTGCCATCCTGGGCCTGGGCCTGGGCCTGGGTCTGCTGGCACCTCTGGCCACACTGCTGGCCCTACACCTGTACCGGAGGGCCTGGAAGCTGCCCACAGATGCCCCCAAGCCCCCTGGTGAGTGCCTATTGTGGGCTCAGCCCAAACCACTCTGGGAGGGCTGAGACCTGCACACTTCTCATGGCTCTGTCCTTTTACCTCCTCAGGGGGAAACAGCTTCCGGACCCCCATCCAGGAGGAGCATAAGGATGCACACTCCTCCCTGGCCAAGATCTGAGCAATGTCCACTGAAGAAGTCATGCCCCTCCCAGGGCCCCCCAGAAGGTCCAGCAGGCTGTGTGGGGCAGTGGGTGCACCCCAGGTGCAGGCTGCCATGCCTGTGAGGGGCCCACCACCATGCTCGACACGGTACCTGGGTCTGCCGCACCGTTCTAGGTGCTCCTAGAGGTTCCTGGGCTCTCTATGTATGTCGTGCATACTCCACGCCCGGGCAGTGCCCCAATAAAAACATGGACAAATGCAGATCTCTGATTGAGCACCTATGGGCTGTGGGCCACATGCTCTGTAGGAGCAGGGGCTTGGGTAGAGCTGCTTAGAGACTGGCCCCATGTAGCAGGGGTGGGCTGGGGAGCCAGGGAAAGGGCCCAGTGAAGGTGCTGGTGGAGCAGGCCCAGAGCCACCCCTCTGAGGTCCTAAAGCCTTGGCTGGGGGCTGCATCTGGGTGGGGAGAGGGCCTCAGGTGCTGCCGAGAGCAGGTGGGCACCCAGAAATCTGGTTGCCACAGGGATTTCTGTTCCTTTTCTCTCCAGCCCCCAAACCCCACACCCTGTGATACCATGTGGGTGGTGGCTCTGGGACTCTCACTGGGCACCACCCTGGGAGTCCCTGCAGTGGCACCATCCAACAAGATGGCCACTTTGGAAAATGAGGTTTCAGATGGAGCGCACCTTTTGTCCACCCTAGGACCCAGCCATTCTGCTGCTGAGCATTGGTCCCATAGGAGCAAGTGTCTTTATTTTATTTTATTTTATTTTTTTGAGACAGAGCCTTAAGCTGTCCCCCTGGGTAGAGTGCTGTGGCATCACAGCTCACAGCAACCTCCAACTCCTGGGCTCAAGTGAGTCTCTTGCCTCAGCCTCCCAAGTAGCTGGGACCACAGGCACCCGCCACAACGCCCGGCTTTTTTTTTTTTTTTTTTTGCAGCCGTCGTTGTTTGGCGGGCCCCAGCTGAATTCGAACCCGCCACCTTGGGTGTACATGGCTGGCACCTTAGCCACTTGAGCCACAGTCGCCGAGCCGGAACAAGTGTCTTTAGATGTGAACAAAGATGTCTACAGTTTATGTATAATAGTCCCATAGTGGAGCTATTTGGATGAGCTCACTATCTGGCACTAACTCAGCATTGAGGGAAGAAGAGTGGACAAGGACCCTAAGCTGAGACCCAAGGTCCTGGAGCTTACCTGGCTGACAGGGGTCTTCTTAGGCCAGTGTCTGGGAGGGGTATCCTGTGGGTGCACGGATGCAGGTTGGACCCTTGGAAGCAAGTTATAGAAACTGCACCAGAGGCTCTGACCCAGCACTAAAATAGCCATGGGCATGTGACCGCAGAGATGGACCACACAGAGAGCTCAGGCGAGGGTTTGTCCATAGTTTGTCCAGAACTATTAAACATCCACAGTAAACACCTTCAAGGTGCAAAGTGATCTCACCTCAACTCCTGAGTGGGAAATGCAAAACAGAACCTGACTGGCTTGGTAGGGCTTGGATGCACAAGGTGGACAGTGGGAATAGCCTCTCAGCGAGCCTCCTGTGCCCTGGGGCTGCATGGCCCAGCACCTGTAGCCACATCACATGCTCCAGACCTGGCAGCCACCCTGTGAAGTGTCATTGGGGCTGGCCCTTCTCTTGCCACTTTTCCTTTCCCATCTTCCCTTTGTCCATCTCACGCCGGGCAGGGCTGTTCAGTCCCACCGATGGGAACTTGCCTCTCCTACCACTGCAGCAGGGCAGGGACAGTCTTGAGGTTCTGCTCCAGCAGGGGGTCCAATAGTGAGCACCCAGCAAAGCAACAGGGTGGTCCTGTTACTTGCAGCCTAAGGCACCATAACCAATGACTGGTAGCCACAGTGAGTTCCTTTCCTGGTCTTGGCAGTCCTGGACTCTTCTTGTCCCCTCTTCTTCTTCCTCAAACCTCCAACCCCATGAACCTCCTGCCACTGCAAAAGGAAGACAGAGGCCATCCTATTGTCCACTTGGCACGCATTTGTTGAGTTCCCACTAGATGTGGGTATAAGATTTGGCTACAGACAAGACCATGGCAATCCCTGTGTGGTGGGGCAGCAGTCACAGCTCAGAGCACCTGACAGTAGCCTCCAGGGTCCCAGAAGGTCAAAGATCATGGGAAAGGGACTTTCTCTGAAAACTTCACACACATGTCTATCACTTCCTCCATTCTGGGCACAGCCCCCACCCCCAGGCCATCTGGTGTTCTCTCCCCAGCCAGGACACTGCTGCCTCCTGATCCCAGATGAACATGGCTCCCTCCTCTTTGCCTCTATGGGCTCCAGGGCTCAGGGTCCAGCTTCACCCCTCTCTGTCCAGTCCTGGTGGTGTGCTGACCAGTTCTTTTTGCCCAGCAGCACGGGTTGCACAGCCCTTGGGATGCTCTGCTGCATGAACATGACTTGTGTCATTTGAGACAAAAGACGCAAACAGATGGTGAGTTGCTCATAAAATACTGGAAAATACAGATGAGCAGATAAAAATCATGTCACCTCACCACCCAGTTACAGAAACTGCTCATTCACCAGAGCCTCAGGCTGCCCAGGAAGGGCCTTCCGGAGTGATCAGGGACAGGAAGACAGATGTGGGCTCAGTGTCACGGACGTCACTCTCTCAAGGCCCCTGCTCACAAGCCCTGTAGCCTTTCATTTCCATGGTTACATGTAGTGCCCTGCTAGTGGACACCAGGCCTTCTTGGTGCCTCAGCTCTTGGCTGAGCCCAGGTGTGACCACCAGGGGTCCCCCTGGTGGGATGCCCTCCAGGGAGCTGCTCATGGACTGGCCAAGGCGCCAGCTCCATCATCTGGACTTCCTCCCCTCTGCTCCCATTAAGCCACTTGTTCTCATAACTCTGTCTTTGAATAGGCAGGAGCAAGGTTCAGCCTATCCTCCTCTCTGAACACCGTTACCTGGTGCCAGGTGTTGCCTTATGGCTTTCCCTTCTGTCCCAGTCCAGGGCCTGAACAGAGATCTCCAGGCTCCTCACAGGTTCCTAGACACAGCCAGCCCCTTTCCCTCCAAGCCTCTGGGCAGCCCAGACTGCAGCCCACTCTGGAGACCTCTTCCTTTCCTGCAATGTCCAAGGGTGACCTCTTTGGTGGGGGGTTCACACATCTTACAACTTAAGGATAATAGGGAGTCACAAACTTCTAATTCCTGTCATTTCCCTTGGAATGATGGTTTGACCAGGTCTCCTGGGTCTGCCCCCTCACAGCAGTGGCCAGGCCTCCAGCCTAAGGGTACATCCATGGTCACACTCCCAAGACCCACCACCTCCAGCACCCTCAGATGTCTCCACCAGCTTTCACTGTGCTGAGAGCCTCAACCATGGGGCTGGGGAACAGGGGCTCAGAATCCCACCATGCTTACACAGGAAAAATGAGGCTCAGAGGGACACACAAAGCTTCTTAAAGCTCTGCCAGGAACTGGTTCTGTGTGGGGCGGTGGATGAAAGTGGCTTGAGAAAGAGTGAGAGCCAGTGATCTGGGGTGGGACCCCAGGTTGGAGCTGCCCTGGGCCACCCTGGAGGGTGATAACCCTCTTGCAGAGGCATAACACAGGCTCTGGCTCTCCTAGCTGGTCCCTGCTAGCCTCCTGGGCTGGGAGCTGAGAAGAGGGTGCCCTGGGACCTTGAAGGCACAGGGAAGGGTTCCCACAGGGCTGCACCTACAGGCGTGGGTGTGGGGGTACCCTTCCTATCTGTACCCTGGCTGGGCTGGGTGGGCTATGTAGGGAGTGCTTGTCCTAATCCCCACTTTAGGGTCCTTAGCATTCATGGCTAAGGGTCTTTGAGTGTAGCTAGGCTTTCTGGAGATGTCTTGGAAAACGGGCAACTTCATTTTCCTCTGGGGAGTGGAGATCTTTAAAGCCCTGTAGGGCACCCCTGAGGAAGCAGAAGAGTGAGGCTCAGAGAGAGGCAGCCCTCAAACCCCCACTGCATCCGGAGCCCACCGCGGTGGCCACAGATTTTGCATAGAAACATTTTCAATCCCTCCAGCTTGGCCCCAGCCACCCACCCAGGGATAAGGCTGTGTCCACGGCACTTACACCCCGGAATTAGAGTTCCTGGGCGGGGCGGGGCCGGCGGGGCCACCTGAAGTCCCTGGGGCACTATGTGCACGGGCGCTATGGCGCATGGGGTCCTCTGCCGCTTGGTGCTGCTCTGTGCCTTGGGCCTGGGCCTGGGTCAGCAGCCCCTTGGGAGCCTGAGCTGCGGTCCCGGCCGCCTCCTTCACGGGACAGGGACAGACGCGCGCTGCTGCCGCTCCTGCACCACCAGTAAGGCTCAGCCTGTGGCGCCCCCTCCTGAGTCAGATCAAATGGCTTTTGCCTAGGGAGGGTGGGTGTGGGGCAGCAGTGGAATGGTGGGCAAAGAGCCTGGTGCTGGCCAATGGGCCCTCGTGCCAGGAGCAGGGGTGGGGCAGGCAGCTACCTAGAGGGCTTGGGGTCCTGAGGTCCTGCGGGGGAATGGGCAGAGTGTCCCCTTAGCCATCACCCAGGTTTGGAGTCCCAGTGCCTTCTTCTGCCCTGCCCCCTGTGTCTGACCAGCAGTTGTGGGTGATGGGGCAGCTGAGACAGGGCAGATGCCAGGAGATGCTTCCTGTCAGGGTCTGGGGGTTGGGAAGAGGATGCTGCGAGGGTCCTATGTCTCTGTGTGCTGGTGAGGTGAACAGGCAAATGGCCTTGAGGCATCTATGTGGATAGAGGGAGCAGTGCAAGGCAGAAAGCAAGGAGGGTGTATCCTCAGGTCCAGGGTCCTCAGGAGGACCCAGCAGGGATACACCCAGTCACATGTATAGTCAGAGCCATGGGGTGGGGGCAGCTTCAGAGCATGGAGGGGTGCAACCGGGCCACACGGCTGAGCATCTGGGCAAAGCCCACAGTCCTGCCTCCCAGACAGTGCTCTCTGGGGGTGGGGACCTGACTCCCCCCCACTCATTCTGAGGGCTGAGAGGAGCCATGGGGGGAGACTCTGCCTGGTTGCTGAGAGGCTGACTTGTCTCCTGCCTAGCTGAGGAGGGCTGTTCTGAATGGGACTGCGTGTGTGTCCAGTCTGAATTCCACTGTGGAGACCCTCAGTGCAAGAGCTGCAAGCATCACTCCTGCCCACCAGGCCAGGAGGTGCAGCCTCAGGGTATGTCAGGGGCTGCTGGGGGTCACTATGCTGTGCCTAGTGTCATGGGTCTTGGCATCTTCTGCGGCTGGCAGAAGATGTGGGCTCAGGTCACTATGAGTGCCTGAGCAGGCCAGGGATTTGATGGGGATGTGGGGTCGCCGAGCCAGAGCTTATGGAAACAGCAAATGGACACATCCTCTGGGCAGGCACCCGTGTCCTGGGTCTTGCAAGGCCCGCAGACTTTCATTAAATGGACGAAGTGGGGGGCCATTCTTCTGTGGACCCAAGCCCTAGATGGACCCCTGAACTGGCCTGACCCCTCCTCATCCATCCCTCAAGGCCCCACAGCCTATTTATCTGTCTGTCCCCAGGGAAATTCACTTTTGGTTTCAAGTGTGTCGACTGTGCAGTGGGGACCTTCTCCAGGGGCCAAGAGGGCCGCTGCAAGCCTTGGGCAGAGTGAGTCTTGGGTGGGCTTCCAGTAGCTGGGCAATCAAGGCCCACTCCTGTCCTTCCCAGTGTGGTGACCCCCAACAAATAGCTCACAGCACAGCAGAGTGAGAGGCAGGGCTGACGGAGTCTATGTCCATGCATCTCAGCTGCCCCCAGTTTGGGTTTATCACCACGTTCCCTGGGAACAAGACCCATGACACCGTGTGCATTCCGGAGCCGCTGCCCAATCAGCTGCATGGCCTGCTGGCTATTGTGCTCCTTGCTGTGACCACCTGCATCCTTGTCCTGACCACTGTTCAGCTTGGGCTGCACATCTGGCAGCTGAGAAGGGAACACGTATGCCCCCAAGGTCAGTGGTACAGTTGTGCCCAGTGAGGAGGTGGGCCCCTGGCTGACCATTGACTGAAGCTCTTTGCAGAGACCCAGCGACTTCTAGAGGTGCTGCCACCAGCCGAGGACACCTGCAGCTGCCAATTCCCTGAGGAGGAGCATGGAGAGCGGCTGGCAGAGGAAAAGGGTCGGCTGGGGGACCTGTGGGTATGAGTTTGGCCATTTTTGTGGGCAGTCAGACCCCAGGCCATACCCTCCCAGGAAGTCACCTAGGCTGACCCTCAGGAGCAGGGATTCTACGTCCTGCCCTGGGCCTGCCCCTGCTCCTCTGACAGTGGAAGTGGGTGCAGGATGATGACAGAGATGAGTCCCCACACCATGCAGAAGGGCAGCAGCCATGGTTGGGCCTTCCACTGTTGCTGGCCCTGTTGGTGTAGGGTCTGTGAGTCCCTGATGCCTAGCATAGGAGACCATGACTGTGGATGTGTAGCAGCACAGGACCTGGCTGCAAGTGGCATCCAATAAACAATTGCTCAGTGACCTAGGTGCACATATACTGTGGATGGGGGGGGCACAGAGAGGGAAGGGTGCCAAGGCCCATCCTCATAGCTCCTAGCCTGGGGGATGTGGGGCACAGCTGGGGGCCATTCCAGTCCTGGGCATAGCACTTGGTGGGGGATCCCAGGGCTCAGAAGGCCTCCTGGAGGAGGGGAGATATTCGTATCCAAGCCCTTCCCCTGATTGTCTGCCCAATATACCCTGAGATAGCTGAGTCCTGGCCTCTGTACACAGAGTATCCATGACACAGCTGAATCTTGGCCTCCATACTGGGAGCTCCTGGAGACTCTGGTCTCTGGCTATATACCCTGCTGGCCCTTTTGGAACACTGGCTCTTGCCTCTCTCTGCCTAGAGTACAGGGCTTGGTTGGCTTCCATGTCTGGGACATTCTGATGTGTGGGGTCAGTCTCTAGATAGTCTGGCTTTGGCCCTCTTTCCACAGCCTGCTGCTCCCCTCTGCCACCTCCCTTGCCTTGGAGCAAGCTCTGGGGTCCTGCCCCATGACCATCCTCCCAAGCCCCAGCTCTGGCTCTCAGTACCATCTCAATTGCTGGCACAACCCTGCAAGGAGTGGCAGGCCAGCCAGTGGAGGCCAGTCTCAGCAGCACCCTCATGGCCACCTGGCCATGGCCCCAGTGCCCCATCCCATGATGTCCCCTCATGGGAAACAGTCAGTTCCTCCTGTGCAGAAGGCAGTGGCCCAGCTCACAGAAGGGAGGTGAAAGAAGGGAGGTGAAGAAGAGAGGGCCCCTCCATGAGACCTAGAATATGAAGAGCCAAAGCCACACAGGGGTACTTGAGAATGTGCTGGACAGTGGACAGTGAACAGTGAACATTCTGGGAAGAGGAGCCTCCATAACTCAATCCAGACTTTACTCTGGTGGGAAACACTTCATCAGGTAATCCAGAGGGTGAGACAGAGGTAGAGGTAGACATCAGCTAGTTGAAAAGAAGATGTGTGGCAGGGCTGGACCTGAGACAGGGGAAGGCACTGCCTGCCAAACAGGTGGGGATGTTCCAGGGAAGAGGTGCTGATACGGCAGGACGCAGGACGTGCCCAGAACCGCTGCCACCCTTGTCTCCAGGCCCAGCCCCTGTGCTGGCCAAGCTCTGCCTACGCTCTGCCCACCTCTCCCCCTGGGCTAGCCGTCTCTCGGGGCACCTGGTAGGCCCCGCCCTGACGCGAGGGCGTGGGGTGCTTGCAGCCGCTGGGACCTTCCACAGAAAGCCCCACAGGCCTCAGCGGCTAGGCTGACTCAGCGTGGAAACTAAGCGGGCGGTGGCTGTCTGGGAGAGGCGGGGATTCCCAGCAGGGCACTAGCACAGGGCTCAGGGTCTCCAGCACCGCCCTACAGGATTTGCTTTGAGTCTGTCCCACCCAACTGGCAGGGAGGGTCTGGGGTGCAGAAGCTCCCACCAGGGTAGGAGGTGAGAAGGGACAGCCTGCAGGGCAGTGACCAGGGGTGCTGGGATGAGAAGCTTTTGAGAGACCCGCCACCCTGCTAGTACTCAGAGGTGAGAAACCAGCTCCAGGCCTCCTCTTCTCCAGTTGTCAGCAGGTGTGCACCTACCCCCACAACCTGGCCCCCTCTCCAAGGTGGGAGAGACTTTGCCTCTCCCAGGCCAGCTCTGGCCCCACCCTTGCGGTCTTGGGATTGGACTTGGATTGGACTTGGTGTATTTTGCTCAGCCTCAGATAAGAGCCCAGAGGCCATCTCTATGCCCAGAATTGCTTTTAGCGGCAGCAAAGGCTCCCCAACGCAGCCCCCAGTCCTTCCTTCCTGAGATCTAGACTCAGTCACTGTGGGATTCCTCCCCAGCTGGACAGAGAGATCTATGGCCGGGGCAATAAGGGGACCCTCCACAGATGAAAGTGGACACCAACCACTCCCAGCTCCAGTCCTAGGACAATTACAGGGGCCCCTTGAGGGGCAGGTGATCCTGGGCTGTCCCCAGCTGTTGGGGTATGTGCCCATTGGCCAGGTGGGCATAGATGCCAGGCCTGGCTATGCAGGGGTCCTGACCAGGACCTGGGGCATCATTCCCATCTCCTCCCCCTACTGGTCTTGCTCCTCTAAGCCAGGCCCCCACCACTCTGGACAGTGGCTGTGCTGGGTGGGAGAGGGGCAGATACCTGCCTCCTGTGAATCTTATCTTCCCAGGAAGTCAGGAATTTGGGCTCTTCCTGCTCCACTTCTGAAGATCTCTTTCCAGGGGAGGGTGGCTAGAGTGAGTAGGGATAAGGAAAGCTCATGGAAATGCACTCTTCAATTCCTCAGGATCCCACTGTTTTCCATCTTTTTTTTTTTTTTTTTTGGTTTCAGTTGTCCTTGTTTGGCAGGCCCAGGCTGGTTTCGAACCTGGTGGTGTATGTGACTGGTGCCCTAGCCACTGAGCTACAGGTGCCGGGCCACTCCATTGGCCCTTTATCTGCCTGAAGGTCCTCAGCAGACCCCAGGCCCTGGCCCAGGAAGGCTCCAAGGGGTTCTGGGTGGGGGAGTCTGTGGGACCACAATCTGGAGATGGGAGGGCTGCCTGGGTCAGAGCTAGGGCAGCTTCACTCCTCACACCCTCTGAAGGTGGAAGGCATTCCTTTCCTGAACCCACAGTACCCTAGGATCACCCCTGAAGGTCAGGGAGATGGACGGGGAGAAGGAGAGGGAGGGGAAAAGCAGGAGGACGAGGAGGGGAGAAAGAAAAGAGGAGGAAGAAGGGGAGAGACATTGGGAGGGGAGCCCATTTACCTTGGGTCTCCCTATGAAGCCACCCTGGCCCTGCTGCCAACTTGGGCCCCAAGAGGGGCCCTGTCCATTTGTGCTGTGCCTGCAGCTGGTCACATCATTTGCTTATTGGGGGCACCTTGTTCTTGTCAGATACCCAGGGGCCACAGGTCCTCAGGTGCCCAGTTGCCCCACAGCCTGTCTCTCCCTGGCAATCCATGCCATTCTTGCCTAGTAGGCAAGTGCACCTGGGCTGGGCAGGTCCGGGGGAAGGATCCAGATGGGGGTGAGGTTGTGGACATTGCCCCTGCCAAGGCATGAACAACAGTGGTTCCCAGGAAGCCGTTTTTATTGACATCTAGGTTCTCAGTGGGCACCAGGAACCGAGAGCAGCCTACAATCCAGGCTTTTGGGGAAGCCCCCGGACAGGGGCAGGAGCTTAGGACAGGCAGGTCATTGCCACCATCCACTTCTCATGTCCCAAGCCAAGCTGTGACACATCCCATGACAGCAGGGAAAGCATCTCCCTGAGGGCTCAGGTGACCTCTGCTGATAACTTGAAGTCCCTGAACATGGGGTGCAGCCCCATCATATGGGGTGAGGAGAGCAGGAATGTTCTGTGACAGTCATGATGACACTATAGAACACAGCCCTGACCAGGGAGTTTGACATTACCCAATGAGGCTTCAGGTGGTGCAGAGGGGTGTCAAGGGGGTAAAAGCAGATGGTTATTGGAAAGTGACCCCAAGATGACATGCCCACATAGCAGCCTTGGATGCTACTGACCCCAAAGAGGATGTGTGGGTTTACCAAACCTGAGTGCTTAGCCCTACAGGAGGCTGGCCTTCATCTCTCTGGGTGCAGGCTGCAGGAGAGGCTGTGGCAGAGCTTGGCCCTTCACAGAGGACCCCACACCTGTGCTGGGGACTCAGGACTCATGGCCTCTTCTCACAGCAGCAAGTGTGAGCTTCCTGCCTCTCCCCTGGGATTCCACAATTGATGATTCCACAAGCTGATGGGATAGGTGTGGTAGAGTGAGCAGGGTGGGTGGGTGGCTCCTGGCTTCCCACTGGGCTCCTTCCTCTGGTTGCCCATGTCATCTTTTCTCTCTGCCCCTGTCCCTTTGTTCAGCCCTCCTGGTCTCCAGGCCAGCAACATCTCGGTAGACAAAGCCTCTAGAGGTGCGAGGCCATTTCGTCCCAAGGCTTGGAGCCTCCATCCCCTTGGGGTCCCACCCTTGCTCCAGGACAGAGTAGGGACCAGTCCTGCCATTCCTCTGGGGCCCAGGCAGGTCAGCAGAAGTTTGGGACTTGGTGTGACCCTTTGGGGGCAGGCACATTAGATGTGGGCCAGGGGCAGGACTTGAAGGATACAAAGGCCTTGCTGGCGGCCAGTGATAGAGGACTCTGTGCTCCAGTTTTGGGTAGGGGAGGAGGCTGAGAGGGCAGTGCAGCAAGGAGACCTTGGCTTGGGCCACCTGGTGGTGGGGGTTGGGGCACCTCAGAAGCCCTGAGCTGTCAGAGTGCTGGAGGGCACACAGGAACTGACTTGGCTAGTGCATGTCCTTTGTTGCCCACAGCCAAGTCCTGGGGTCTCTACAGGAACCAGGGGGAGTGGTGAGGCTGTGGACCATCCACCCGGTGCTTTGAGGCCAGGAGAGAAAGGTGCTATGCAGGGCATGGTGGGCAAGCCCCGGGGGTGGTGGTGGTGTGTGTGTGTGCAGAGAGCAGTCCTGGCCTGAGGGCACTCTTCTCTGGATGTCAGAGGGGTCCCAGAGCTTTTCTTGGGGACACCAGGCTGTGGAGGTCAGGGTGGTGGTGATGGTCAAAGGAGGGTACAGGGCTATGAGGGGCACAGGCGATGGATGGGAGCCCAGGACCTGGTAGGGGGGCACTGCCCCTCCCTGCAGTACAGGCTCCCCCAGTAATCCCTGTAAGGACAGGTCCCAGCAGTGGGGGCGGGGCGGGGGGGGCTGTTGGGGCTGAGGGAAGGGCGTGGGTGGGCCAGCCCCTTCCCCCTCCCTTAACCCCCGCCCACGGCCTGGCAGGGGAGCATCGCTGGGTCTATGTGGGTGCCCAGGGTGGACGTGCGCTTGAGGAAGGAGGGCCTGGAGCGGCGGGGCCCGCCTGACCCGCTGCGGAGACCGAATTTGTATCAAAGTAGCCTTTATAGGGCCCAGAAGACTCAGCGGTTCGCCCGGCCGCTCGCGGCCCGCCTGCTAGGAGGCCCGGTGGCTAGCGCTCTTGCGCTCCTCCTCTGCTGTCCCTGGCGAGGGCTCCCGGCCCAGGTACCCGCCTCCCGCTCGCTGCCGCTCCGCGCCCGGGGCCTCGGGCTCCCCACTGGGGTCGGGGTCGG